GATCGCGGGAAATGATTTATGCATTGTGTCTAGTTAAAAATTTGTACGAATTGATTATAAGTTTTTTCCCATTCTTCTATAAGATCATCAAGCCATGCAGTACTTAAACCGCTCTTTAATATACCGTGACGTAATAACTCTTCACCGACCAGCCTATCACGATCTGTTAAAAACTTATGATATTTCCTAGTGTCTTCTTTCCTTTCTATTCCACCACGATAAAAGCGTATATCTCTTTCCAAGTCAGCAGGAAAATCCACCTTTTTTTCTCAGCCTCTGTAATGGACAAAAACTTCTTAGGCTCTACCTCTTGGATTTTGTTTGGTATACTTACTTGAATTTCCGGCAAACTCTGTTTAGCGATTATAACTTTCTTTTGATCGATACGAAAAGGGCAATTAAGAAAATAGTGATCATCTTTACCGAGACAGCTCCAATCACCCCATATACCTAAGCGTGTATGTACCTCTTTACATATCGGACATTTAGCTTCTGAATTGGTATATTTAAATACATCCCGATGCCATGTATTCGAATTAGTATATGTCAAGAAAGGGAATCGTTTCTGTACTGTTTCAATAATTACATCTTTCTCTTCCGGAAACTTAGAAATTTTGATAACACAATTCCGTGAAAGGTGATTATTAGTCTTTTCGATTTGTGGGGATTCAGAGTTTATCCAAGGATCGAGTCCAGTTTTTTTCTTATACCTAATATATAACTTGGAACGAAGTTTATTAGATACAGTGGTTGGCAGATCAGTTAATTTGGAATACCAATCCAGATATTTGGGGGTTAATAGCGGAGCTTGTACCAAGGCACATATTTTATCAGACCTGGCTCGTGTATCCATGTTGTCATTTATATAATTTTAAAGCAATTTAATTTCTCGCATCAGGAATCAAAAAAAAAAAAGTGTCTTATTTCGGAAGAAATGGCACGAAGTACCTGACACTGCTCCACTATTAAATAAATATACTATTTCAATAGATCCGCTTCTCACATTAATATTTATTGTATAGTAATAAGAAAGCGTAAACAGATAAAATTATACAATTATTTCGGCATGACATTACCGATTTCAGATACTTCACATTTAATATAGTAAGACCTATCTTTATATTCGCCTTCTATACCTTCTTCGTTCTCATGCTCTAACTTACATAAAGGGCATAATGATTCAGCATTAATACCATAATAATCATCATTTCCATCACTATATTCTTTATATAAATTGGGATACTGCTCCAATAATTTGTTACGAAAATAAGCACGGTCATGAGTTTGTATACTTATCTGAGGTGTGGATGGGATCTTAGTTTCTGGAGATATATTATTCGCTAATACACTTCCTACAGTTTCCAATATAACCTTTTCAGGTCGAGAGGTGGAAGGCATACTTACCTCTGTATTAGTCTGATCGTTACGATTTGTGATATTATCTGAGCTAGGTTCGATCACATTTCCGTTCCAATTTGGAACGCAAATCATATTTGTATCAGTTGACTTTTTGGGGAAATCATTTATAATATTTTGAATTTGGATATCTTTTAAACTTGAAATAGCGCTAGCACTGTAAGTTACTTGGCTGATTATATCTATTCCTATTCCTTCAATTAATATATAGATTTTTTTAGCTCTGGAAGTTATTTTACGTAAATTTACATCAGTAATTTCTGGTAGAAGTGATTTAATTTCATTATATACCAATGTCCTTGCAGATTTGTCGTCAATATTATTCATAGACTTAATATACCCGATTTTATCCTCATATGCTTTATAATAACAATACCAGTATAAAATCTCCTTTTGTCTAACCTTCATTGCTACATTAAACAAGTCAACTATATTCTGCACCGTAATTTTACTAGATCCTGTTAGAATTTCTTCTAAAGAGAATTCTGGAATCTGAATATCAAATGATTTATCAGCAAAGCTGGCACGGCCAAATATAACCAAAGTATCGGGTGAGTTAATTTTACTATCATTATTATTGGCGCAAATAAATAATTCACATCTCAAGCCTTGTTCGACTTTTTGATTATATGGAACTTTTATTTTAGAAGAAATAGTATTTTGTGCCTGATTAATAGGTATTACATCAGAGGTCCGAGGTTCCGATTGAATAATCTTATGGTCATGGGAAGTTTCAGTCACAGGATTTATTTTGGATGGAATGGCACTTTGATCTCGAAGTTTCTTTTCCTTAATGTTCTGTATTATTTCGTTACTAACCCTTTCCTTATACTTTAAATCCACGAATTCATCAACTTCCTTTTCTTCCACTGATATAGAATCGTTACTAGATATAATAGCAATTGTGTTTGCTATCTGTTCGGAGTGGTTCTCAATGGGCGGTGAGGTAGATAGTGATTCTATAGGATCAACTTTTTGGGCCTGAGAGGTTACCGGTAATTCTGAACAAGCTGAGGACTGCGAAATATCTTCAATAGAAGGTACGTCCTATATGTTAGTAATGACTTGGGTTTGTTTCTTGATTTCTTCGAGATCGTGCCTTAATTTTACTACTTTAGTTTTAAGTTCAGTATTCTCGGCTTCACGCCTGGCACTTTCTTCTATCATCTGTTTTAGTTTTGTATTCTCATCCTTAATTTCAGTGTTCTCAGCTTCAAGTACAATAATTCGTTGTTTCAATAATTCTAATTTTGACATGATTAGATATTAACAGTTTTATATAGAAAACAGATTTATTCAAAACTTAGAGTTAATTAGGATATATGTATAAGTAATAAAAATTTTTGCGAAGCTAGTACAAGGTGCCATGTCAACACATGTCCGTGACAATTTGTCACGCAGATCACTTTTGCCAAGAAAATTTTTTAGACCGAAATTCTTTACTAATGGGCACAAGTCTGATAAAACACATGATATTAGCCGTGCCAACTCTGCTGACACACAATGCCTTTATGTAAGTCTGAAAAAAAATATATGTCCATGTCAATTTGTCACGCTGATCACTTTTGCCAAGAAAATTATTTCGGAAAAATTATTAGTTATACATTACACAAAAAATAACAAATGATACGTGATTCTTCGAATCGTCTAAAGACTTGTACGTTCCTCTAACCAAAAATCTTTATTGATAAAAAATACAGGATAAAATATAAGATATATATATGGTAAAAATACAGGATAAAAATCTATCTAATTAATAATTAGGAGGAGGGGATGTTACCGTTGAACTATCTAAATTTCTATTTGATCTGTGATCATGTGCACTGCGTAACAGAGACATATTAACTATTAATGTATTGCAGAATAATAATAAAGTATATATAAAATCAGCTAAAATGGAAGGATCATTGGAATATCGAATAGGGATTTCCGCTTCATGTAATTTATAATATCGATGGATTTCAAGTTCGTCTCTAATAAGAATATTCAAACTCAACCTACATCTAGCCACTTGTATTCCAATAATGCCAAATTGTTCCTTTTTCAACTGACGACTTTTTTGTGCCCAGTATAACCCATCATTACATTCACGCCATAATTTTATATCATCATCCTCTTCTTTTTGTTTAGTACAGATGATCCTGAAACATTCTGCATACATTAATTCATAAAATTTGTCATCCTCCTTACTTATAAACATAATATCAAGCCGTCTTCCTACTCTCCCATCACCTCTTCTATCAGTACTTGCTACACTCTGTCATTCAAAACTAAAAATATAAATGAGCCATCTTTTAGTATAAATGACAATATTTAGAATACATTTCTTATCAATCTCACTAAAATAATAATGAAGTTAGTGTCAGAGCGAAGCTCATTGTTCCACAGGCCGAAGGGCGATCCTAAGGATCATAGACACATATATAAAACTTACGTAGTAATAAACGCTGACTCTCCAAATTGATTATCAAATAAGCAGGCGTTAATTAATGATATAATTATATTATTTACATAGGTACCTTCATTCATTGTACCAACGAATTCAGAACGAAAAGCCGAATTGCGCCAAACAGATCTCAACGTTTCCAAAATTTTTAATGTGATTTCTTCAAGTTTATCCTCATTCTCTTTCCACTTTTTTGTATGAGATAACTCGTATGGTAAACTTGATAAATTCTCAGATAAAAAATTTGATACAAACCTTCTACACATATCTTCGATTCTTGATATAGGAACGGGTTTCATTGATCTGATCAGTTTCTATTAAAAACAAATATTAGTATTAATAACGAAGTTTGTGTCAGCTGGAAGTTGGTTCACACCAAGACACATATATACCATAAATGCTTTTTTTAAATTTCCTGGTAATTCCTAAATAAGATCCGAATTATCTCTAATAATTTGATTAGCTAAAGAATCTTTCCAGGTTAATTCTTGAATTGAGATTTTATTCACATCAGAATATAAATGTTGATAAAGTGGTAAAGTGTCTTTTCCGAGCTTTCTTTTTACTTCACTTATATTCTTTCTAATTTGGTCTGAAGTAAGTGGTTGCTCCTTATCCGTCTTGATTGCTCCCATATCATAAAGACCATAAACCCCTTCAAAAGTACTATCAAACTAAAAATAAATGATACGTTAGATTTCAGAAGTATATAAATTCTCATCATTAAAATACGCAATATATCAGTGCATATGCAAAATTAACATCTTTGTGTGGCCATCACGCCAATGTAACTTTGTGTGATATTGATTAATTACATAATAACTTATATTTTTGATTCAACCCTTAACCGTGCAATAATCTTAACATACAATAGGTTAGTAGAGTGAACTATATTACTGCGTAACAGTCTATAGTATATACACCCCTCTATTATATGAAAGTATTATTGGGGGTTAAGCTAATGGATGAGAAAAATATAAATCAACAAATCGGTCAAAGACTGGCTCACGCCAATTCTGGATTTATTTATTCGGCATTTGTGTTATGAATGAAAATCACACAATATCATCATATAAATATTATTCGAGTATATTTTTTATATAATGAACTAACCTGTGGTAAAATTCGAAAAATTCTTAATTGACGTTCTGAACCTTCCATATATCTGTTACTAGCTGAATCCACAGCCCGGTTTACAACTGTTCTTAATTCATTCTGTTCGATTCATCGATCTTTTTTCATTCCGAGATATACAACCGATATCGCATTTATTTTTTTATCTTCGGCAGTTGTTAAAAATTTGTAGATTTTGTTATATAGTTCAGTAGACATTTTATGTATTGATTTTGTGATAAGAAAAATATTAGTTTTGTTAGGTAATATTTTTGCAAATAAAGCTTCCAACAATACCGATATACTCTCCTTTAACACATCTTATTATTCCCTTTTTTAGTATCTCGACTTATGAATTAAGAAAGAAGCCAGCATATGCATGAGAACAAAGGATATGTATATGATCCATAGTCAATTATTTGAATGTAGGTAAAGAAGTTCACGATACTTTCCTTTTATCACTTTTCATTATTTCACTGAAGAATGAATTAGGAACAAAGAGTATGTATATATCTCGAGTCAATTATTCAAACCAGGTTACTGATATTCCTATTTGTAAAAAGTACAACATATCAGATTAGTTTTGTGATAAATATAAATAGTGGTGCAGTAAAGCTAATAAAAGTATAAAAAGTGATATTATATATTTGCTTTTTTACATAGATATGCAGATGTAAGGGGTACTAATTAAATTTGGTAATCAATGTATCGCATGATCAAATTTCCGAAGGCGATCACACAGTAGGTATGCATGTAGTTTCTATTACATTCGAATTCCTTCTATGATATATATCATATGATAGGTTAATAATTTTAGCGAAGATGCCAAGTTATACAAGTTACTACTTACTATAAACTGAAGAGGTGGAACCTCATTGCTTTGCAATAAATATATCATGGTAAAATTACGTCAATATCATAGTTAAAAATAGTTCGTTATTGACATCTGCTCATGTTAAAAATCTCATAACTATTTACCAGTACAGTTTATGAACCGTTTTGATACTTATATCCGAGAATAAACTATATGTCCGAAATAGATTCTCCATTCACAATCTACCATGACTATCATTTGTTGATTTCATATGCCTGTCAATCATCATAAGTAATCGTTACAACAATATCTACACGAGTAATTTTATATGTGTTAGAGACACTAGCTCTGCTATAAATACCATTACCGAACTCAAAATACTTTACTTCTATCATATGGTTTTCGTGACAAATTGGAACGGAAAAGTAATCGAACTTAGCTCGGATAACATTTTCAACATATAGCTTCTGAAACTCTCCACAACTCTAAAGAGATATGTTTCGTATTTCTCAGTATAAGATCAGGAGTTATACAATATGCCTCTTTAGGGGTACTTCTTCGAAGCATATCGACAAATAGAAAATAACTTTGCATTGGATCTGAGAAATAGAGCGTTTCAATCTGAGATAGATACTAAAGAGCTAAAAGATAATGAGCTAGAAAGATTAACAATGTTTTTAACAGTTCTGATGATATACATATGATATATATGATAATCACTAAATATGAAGAGCTTCTATTGTATAGGTGTATATCGAATATATACATTATTCAAAGAGAACCTAAATCAACAAAAATTGAATCCGATATATTTTAGAGTATAAGTTATTAAAATTAAATAGGTCTGAATTCCTAAAATACGATATAAATCTCATAACTTCCATAAACACACTATAAATCACTTAATTGTTAAATATGGTCTATACAGATAAATGCCCAGTTTTAAATGAAATTGAATGGAGAGATAATTGTCAATTCCCAGTAATTCGTGATGGAGAAATCCCATCTGATTGGAAAAAACGAATCTGGGGTCAGCTAATAAATTATAGAAAAAATAATTGTTTATCTGAATCTCATAAGCAGTATATGGTTGCTAGGAAGATGGTATAGTTATGGGAAGGTGATCTTGGCAGTGCTTTTGAAGTGAATATTGCAATATGCCATAGTTGTGATCAGCTTGTTTATGTTGATTGGAAATGTATTTATGGAGAATATCATAGATCTACAATTGAAAAACATTGGAGTACAAATTGCACAGGAAACGCATATTGTGATATTAGTTATAAAGACTATATGGAATTTAAAAGCAGATCCGAAGCTAATAACTCTTACTTCGAAAAAATAGTGATTCGTCATTATGAATTGTGGATACAGAATGCTATTAGAAGAGTTAAACATGCAAGAGAAATTGGTAGAAAAATTCATGCTATAAATATCATAGCACAAAAATGGCTTGAATATATGTATCGCCCCAATGGAATGACGGCTAAAGAACTTGCTCAACATTACTAATTATTATGGACAGTTCGAGAAGAAATGCGTCAAATTAATAATGCATAATATACATATCTATTTATTCAATTAATATATCTATTTATTATATAACTTATTCATATATATATATCTTTAAAATAAAATCATCTAAGGTATTCCTGAGGGCTAGTACTTTAGACTTTTATTTATTGCTATTTCGTGATGATTAATAGCTTTTTTTTTCTCAATATGTATAATTGATTAAATTTGTCTTTATAAATACATGTAGGGCTTTGCCCATTGCCTTGCAATAATTAATGATAAATAAATAATTCCCAAATTCAAATAGATCCATTAATAAGTATAGTCATAATCTCTCGATGCTTGTAGTGTATCACGACATCTTCCACAAACCATCCAAGGATATTCGAGGTTTAAAGACGCTAATTGATTATAGTTCTTTTTCCCATGAGCAGTGATCTGATAATTCGGATATTTTTTCATCAAATCTCCAATACTCCCATTCTCATTCTTTGCCACGTATGCTTTATGAATACCATCTATCATAACTTTTATCGTATTCTTATCATACGTATTAGAAGGCTCTGGTTCGAGGGTGATGATATCAGATTTCTTAAACTTATGACCACCGCGAAATCTCATCCCTACAACCATAAAGGAATGTGTAACAAGCTTGGGACGCCTCTTTGAGGCATGCAATCTGTAAATAAAGGTGACGATATTTCCTTACAACTATAACAAGTGTTAGTCATGATTAAAAACTATTATATTTTTGTATACGAATAATATCCAAGTTCAAATAGATAATATCTGTTATCTGATCCACATATTCCGTAACTGATCACTTTTTTTACCTATACTCAATTTGCGTCTAAATACCACAAACCATATAACAGCAATAAACAGTAAGATAAGTAATATATATGCTAATAATGGTGACATTAAACCACTTGCTACGACAGGAGTTGCTTCTATTCCTCCTACTGAAATCTGCGGATCTGAATTTATATGTGTGTCTAACATAATATCTTTACTAGTTTCAGATGCATTAACATCCTCACTCCGTGAGTCACTTACCTTAGGTATAGGGACGTCTCCGTCATCATCATCAATTTTTTCGATATCTTCTATATTTTTTCTGCATGCTAGATACGGTCTAAGACTATTGGTAGATTCACTAATTATAGATATATTAGATGCAAAAACATCCTCACTCTGTAAGTCAGACTTGACTATATTTTTTTCGTCATCTCCACCAACTATTGCAGAGCAGGTCATTAGATGATTTTTCGAATTATAGTCCAAAGGGTCTATTGCAAAGCAATGGGGCTCTGCCCCTACAGGTTTTGATATAGCCTCCAATTTCAGGTGATTAAGTTCACTTCTTACACGGTCCAATTCAACTTCTATTTGTTTAAACTCAACCATTTTAGATTTAAAGGATAGATTCTCGGATTCTGTTTTTGATAAGCTTTCCTGAATCGAAAATGCATCTTTTTGAGCTGATGTTAACTTACCCTCCAATATCTTAATCATAGCCTGGTGTGATTTTATTTCTTTTAATTATATATCATACCTGGTTTTATACTTATCACAAGAAATCTGTGATTGAGTAATTTGGGATGTAAGGTTAGTATTGTTTACTTTCAATCGTTTAACCTCCTTAATAAGTTGGTAAACATGCTTAAAAATTTTCTCTTTATCTTTATTGAATTGTTTTAAATCATGTTGTATACACTTATTGTCTTTATCCAAGATAGAGCATTTATTAACAAGTCGATTACCACATTCTATAGCAATTTCCCGATCACGATTTGCACAAACAAGCTTATTTTCAAGTTCTGTTCGGCTAGACGGATATCGATTGGCAGGCATGTCTCCAAGTTTTTTGCCTTCACCTATATCTGATAATGTATGAATTTGAGACATATGTGTTTTAACACTAGTTCCGTTACTATATCAATGAAAAAAATAAATTAAATACAGGATAACTAATATTAATAATACCTATAAATTACAAACTTTCAATTTATTATAATAAAACTATGTCTAGATATTTAAGATCTGATGCACCTCTATTTTCTCCTGAAGATTATTCTTATATCTTATAGTGTCGTAATAAAAAAGATTAGATATTAATTGATATTTATAAATCAAATATTTACCGAAATAGAATTAGTTATTAACCGATATATCTAAATCGAATATTTACCAAAATAGAATTAGATGTTAACCAAATGATATAGATATATCGAAACAAAATTGGATATTTACCGAATAGTCTAGATATGTATCGAAACTAGATTGAAAAACTTTTGAATTTATATCTAAATATTTTTTTTATTTTTTATAAATAGATTATGACTCAAAACTCTGAAAAAATAATTCGATATCTGCGATCTGATACAACTCCTTTATCAGATGATAATATACAAGATATCATTAATGCCAGAAATTCGATGAAACGTGAATCAGAAGCTATGGCTATCAAATATAAAATATCAACAAGGCGTGTATATCAAATATGGAGGGAAAATCATCCGCCAATAGA